TGGAGGCAACATTTGCTAAGCCCATGTGATATCACATGGCAGGATTACAAAGTCATCAGAAACTACTGCACGTCACTCATTAGAGTCGATAAGTACGAATGGCAGGAGAATATGGTGCTGAAATTTACGAGTAACACCAAACTGCTATACAGATTTGTGAATGGCAAAAGAAAGGTTAAGCCCGGAATACCACCACTCAGGACGGCCAGTGGCCTAACAACTACTGCTGTGGATGCCGCGAACGCTCTACTCTTGCAGTTTGGCTCGGTAGCTACAAATGTCATGGAACCTTCGCCCTATCAACTCCCAACCAATGTCGTTGGCTTATCCAGCATCACCTTTACTCCAGCAGCTGTTGCAAGCAAACTACAGTCTCTCCGGAAGTACAGTGCCCCTGGAATCGACATGATCTGCCCAAAAGTACTAAAAACCCTTGCTCCCACCATAGCAGCACCACTTGCAACCTTTTTCCAGGGTCTGCTTAACTCCCATACACTCCCATCTGAGTGGAAAAATGGAATTATCACTCCAATATATAAAGGAGGTAAGCGCTCGGATCCTGCTAACTACCGACCTATTACTCTCCTTCCTGTTTTATCAAAAGTTATGGAATCGGTAATCGCAGATGGACTGACGCGATACTTTGAAAGTCAACAGATAATTTCTAATGCCCAACATGGTTTCCGACGCAGACGATCTTGTCTCACCAATTTGCTGATTACTCGGGACTTATGGACCAGGGCGGCTGATGAAGGAGTGCCCATAGATGTGATATATCTGGATTTTTCTAAAGCATTCGACAGGGTCAATCACTTCTTTCTCCTCCAAAAGCTTGCTGCCTACGGTATCAACGGTTCCCTGCTCACCTGGTTGGAAGACTACTTACACGACAGAGCAATCAAGGTAAGAGTAGCCGACACCTATTCTGAAAGCCTTTACGTCTCCAGTGGTGTACCACAAGGATCCGTCCTCGGTCCGCTACTGTTTTTAGTCTACATTAATGACCTTCCAGCAGACATTCTATCTCCAATGCAAATATTTGCAGACAATGCTAAAATATGGAGAGCAATTCGCTCAGCATCCGACCGTGTCTACCTCCAGGAAGATCTGACCCGGATTAACGAATGGGCAGAAAAGAACCAGCTCCCACTGAACCCTGCAAAGTGCCACCTGCTGACGGTGCACAACAGCTTCGTCAACACATACCTTTTGGGGCAACACGTCATGCAACACGTGACTAGTGAACGCGACTTAGGTATAGTCGTGCAAGAGAGTCTTGGAAATTCGCTCCAATGTTCGAAAGTAGCAAGTGTGGCGAACTTGAACTTGAGACTTTTGAGGCGAGCTCTCGGCACTTTTGAGCGGCAGCTAGTACCATTGTTGATTAACTCCTACATTCGTCCTCATGTTGAATATGCAATTCAGGCCTGGTGTCCATGGTTAAAACGAGACATCCGCCTATTGGAACAGCCCCAAAGAAGAGCCACAAAGGCAACGCGTGGACTATCCGGTATAAGTTACGAAATGCGTCTTCGTGTACTCGGTGTGTTCTCATTAGAATACCGACGGCTTCGCGGAGATCTTACTCTCACCTACCTGATACTAACCGAAAGCGAGCATCCATGTACATCACTGTTGACTCTAGCCCATACAAACAAAACCGAGGCAACCACCTGAAACTAATGACGCAACACTCTCGTTTGAATTGTAGAAAGTATTTTTTCTCACTTAGAATCTGTTCTCACTGGAATGCATTACCAAGCTATGTGGTGAACGCACCAGACATGACGACACTCGAAAGACTCTTAGATTTTCATCTTAGTGATAAACGATACACAATACTTTGCTAAAGTGCAATGATTTAACCACTGATACTTTACGTTCTACGTTGGAACATTTTGATTTTAATTTCCCTTTGCATATCCGTCCTGTGGGTCTTGTAAAGTTATGCTTTTTATCCCATCATACACCATTGAGCCATTGAACCATTGAGCAGTCAAGCGCGATAAAGCGTAAACATGGCCAAAGCATTCTAAACGGATGTGTTTAATGGTAAAATCGTATCCGAGAATTATGTTGTTGCCCAACGTTGCAGGCAATTTGTGGTGTGAACAGGAATTCCTTTCTTGGTACCGAATATAGACAACAGGGGCATAATACTAAATGCATAACGTGAATTTCTGACCATGCAACCTCTTATGAAACTTTCTGACTGCAAACACAATTGCTAAACCTTCTTTTTCAATTTGGCTGTAATTCCGTTCAGTTGCAAGCGTGAAAGATGACTGACCGCTTTGTGCCTGCCATCCGGAAACTGGTGCAAGAGTGCTGTTCCAATCCCGTACTCTGAAGCGTCAGCAGCAACTATGATAAGTAGTTTCGGGTCATAGTGTGTAAGTGCAAGATCAGAAGTTAAAATGCGCTTTATTTAACCAAATGCCGACTGACAAGCTGGGGACCATACCCATTTTGCATTAGTTTTCAAGAGTTCATATAGTGAAATCCTTAGAGAGTGCATATTAGGGACAAAATTATTGTAATAGTTAACTAGTCCCAAAAAGGAGTGAAGTGTTTTCTTGTCATCTGGAACTTGTAATTGTTGGAGTGCCAAAATTTTTAGTGGATCAGGACGACGACCACAGTCAACAATGATTGCACCAAGATACGAAATTCGAGGCATGAAGAACGCACATTTGTCGATTAGGAGCGTAAACCCGAAACTTCTGATCCTGTTAAACACTTCATTTAGGTGTACCTGATGTAGCTCAACTGAAGCGCTTACGATTATTCTTACACATACCTCCAACCCAACCCACCCCACACACCACCACCCCCCCAACCAAACAACCCCCACACCCACCA